TCAATGAAATATCATGCAGATATTTAAATTTGTTTATTTATATACTTCTAGATTTGGAAAGCTGTTCACAACATATTGTTGAGTAAAAGAAAACAGATTACAAAAGAAAACAACAAGAATTCCCATTAAAAAAATGAAAAGAAAAATATCTGAAACCTGCAGCAAATGTCATATTTAAAGGTTAAACATTAGAAGTACAATCATTAAGATTAGAAATAAGATAAAAGACAAGAATACCCAATTATCACAAGTAATACTCAATATTGTACTAACTGTCCTGGTCATTGCCATATGAAAAGAAATGAAATAAACTGCATAAATGCAGGTTGCAAAGCAACAAAACTCATTATTTGAACAATATGACTGACAACCTAGAAAATGCAAAGAAATCACCAAAAAAATATTATTCAATAAATAGAGGAGTTTAATAAGGGGCGAGATATAAGATCAATGTATAAAAGTCAATTGCTGTGGTTTATGTCAAAAGTGTTTTTCCTACGTTCTCCTCTAAGAGTTTTATAGTTTCTGGTCTTACAGCTAGAGGAATCAGGCTCCCTGACTTCAAACTATACTACAAAACTACAGTAATCAAGACAGTATGGTACTGGAACAAAAACAGAAATGTAGATCAACAGTACAGGATAGAAGCCCAGAGATAAACCCACGCACATATGGTCACCTAATTTATGACAAAGGAGGCAAGAGCATACAATGGAGAAAAGACAGCCTCTTCAATAAATGGTGCTGGGAAAACTGGACAGCTACCTGTAAAAGAATGAAATTAGATCACTACCTAACACCATACACAAAAATAAACTCTGAATGCATTAAAGACCTAAATGATCCAGCAATCCCACTACTGGGCATATACCCTGAGAAAACCATAATTCAAAAGGACACGTGTACCCCAATGTTCATTGCATCATTATTTACAATAGCCAGGACATAGAAACAACCTAAATGTCCAATCATAGATGAATGGATAAAGAAGATGTGGTACATATATACAATGGAATATTACTCAGCCATAAAAAGGAATGAAATTGGGTCATTTGTAGAGATGTGGATGGACCTAGAGTCTGTCATACAGAGTGAAGTAAGCCAGAAAGAGAATAACAAATATCGTATATTAACACATATATGTGAAATCTAGAAAAATGGTACAGATGAACCTATTTGTAGGGCAGGAATAGAAACACAGACGTAGAGAATGGACATGTAGACAAAGTGGGGGAAGGAGAGGGTGGGACGAACTGGGAGATTAGGTTTGACATAAATACACTACCGTGTGTAAAATAGATAGCTAGTGGGAACCTGCTGTATAGCACAGGAAGCTCAGCTTGGTGCCCTCTACGACCTAGATGGGTGGGATGGGGAGGGTGGGAGGAAGGTCCAAGAGGGAGGGGATATGTGTATACATATAGCTGATTCACTTCATTGTACAGCAGAAACTAACACAACATTGTAAAGCAATTTTACACCAATAAAAATATAATAAACTCAAAAATAAAATAAAATAAAAGTCAATTGCTTTCTTTTATGAGCAATAACCCCTTAGTATCCCCTATATATTATCAAGCAAAACTATAAAATACTTAAGCAGGAATATCCAAGATTGCCCATATGTGGTGAACAATCTAAGCCATCATTAAAGGACTAAAAGATGCCAATTCTTCTCCAACATTAATGTATAAATTCAATGTAATCCCAACCAGAATCCAAAGGAGTTTTACTTAATGGAAATTGACAAATTCTTAACTTCTTCTTCTTTTTTTTTTTAAATATTTAAGCCTGCGAGATCTTCGTTGCAGCATGAGGGATCTTTTTTAGTTACGGCATGCAGGCTCTTAGTTGTGGCAGGAGGGATCTAGTTCCCTGGCCAGGGATTGAACCCGGGCCCTCTGCATTGTGAGCAAAGAGTCTTAACCACTGGGCCACCAGGAAAGTCCCTGATTCTTAACTTTTTATGTGAAATACACACACACACACACACACACACACACACACACACACACAAATAGCCAAGAAAATTTTGAAAAATGAAGATAAAATGAGGGAGACGACTGTGCTACCACAAATAGTTATGGCAGTTAAACAATGTGTATATATAGTTTTAAACATCAGTATGATAAAATAAAAACAAAGTTAACACACAGACAACTGACTAGGAGAAAAAAGTTTCAACTTCCGGCTGATGAATGATTACTGATTGTATGTATATATGTGCACATGTTTAGTGATTTTATATATATATATAGTCACTATATATGTATTATGTTATGTATATATTCATTATATATGTAGTCATTATATATCTCTAGTATATATAAATTACTTATAAAAAGATAAACAACCTGTAATAAAAATAGGTAAAAAATATGAATAGGTACTTAGAGCTGAGGAAATTAAAATGGCCAATAAACATGAAACAAGAGGAACAAAGTCCTCTTTGGTTCAGATCAAACCAATAAGGTTCTATTGTTTTTTGTTCACTATCATGGCAAATTTTTAAAAGACCCATAATGTCAAATAGTATAGGAAAGCAGATAGATCGATACTGGCACAGTCATTTAAGATTGAGATTGTCAGTATCTACCAACTCTTGAGATTTCTAAACCAATTAACCCAACAATCGTACTTGTATAAATACAATCTGTAGAAAAATTGGCAATGAATTTCATGTCTATCAGTAGCATATGCTTGTTAAATTGCTGAGAATTCTAGCAGCAATTGAAAATAAAGATGATTCTATTTTTATTAAAATTTTCTAAGACATATTCTCCAGTTACTATTGCTATAACAAACTCTCCCAAACTTAGTGAATTAAAACAACCACCAGGAATCAGTGAGACTGCCTGGTCTCTGCTCCAGGAAGTCTGGAAGGAGCTGCGAGGACTCAACAGTTATTCACTGAGTTATTCATCTGTGGGGACACTCAACTACAGCCCCTACAAGGGGCCTCTCCCTTTGCCTGAGCTTCTTCAGAAAATGATGATGGCCTCAGGATACTGCAATATTACATGGTGACTCAGGGCTCCAAAAGTAGATATTCCATCAAACGATGGAGAAACTGCGTTGCCTCTCCTGTCCTAGTTTCATAAGTCGGTGTCACTTCTGCCAATTTCTACTGTCACAAGCCTGCCCAGATTCCAGGGGAAGGGATACAGACCCTATCTCTCAATGTCAAAGTCACATTGTAAGAGCATGAAAATACACAGAATATCATTTCAAAAGATGATAGCAAACTGTTAAGAACTGTTAGCTCTGAGGAGTGGGGTGAGATTATAGTAGTAGGAGATGGATGTGACCATTTGCTTTTCCTATAATGGGTTGAGACTTCACAATGAGTCCCCAGTTGAGATGTGTAAAGGACAAGAAATAGTGTGTCTGGAAAACTGCATGCAAATAAAATGGGGCATGAGACATGATTTGGTGCCAATCAAACTACCTCGGCTAAATTTCTAAAAAGCATGATCTGGTATCCAACCACTCAAATGTCAGCCACCGTGGAGATGAGTAGAAAACATCAGAATGGATGTCCTGATACTTGAGCCAGGCAGTCCAATCTGTGGCTAGACTTAGGTTGGTAAAGAGGCTGGGACCTTAACAACTCATGAGCTTCTATGCTTTTTGGTTTGTTTTGTATCACTCTAGCTTTCTAGTAAAAAGTCCCTTTAAAAAGTAGTTTGTTCTCAACTATAAAAACAGAAAAAAAGGATATTTTCTACTTATAAGGATCCTTTTAACCAGGTTCAACTCTAGATCTTGATTCAGATTATGGGTGGGGCTACAAGCAAGAATAAAGGAAGCCTGGTATCATAGTCGGGTTTTCTTACTGAATTTAACCATTTTCAACTGAAATTACTTTTTGTGTGTAGACTAAATCTTTAGTAGAAGTTTATTTTTGAAAAGTTCAGATTCGTAACATTTTGTGGTGAATACCAAGACTTATTGTGAAAATACAGTAATCAAGACACTGAGGTAGTAGCCTAAGGATGACCTTACGTAATGGAATACAGAGCCCAGAAATAGTCCCACATAGTCAAATCAATAGTTATTTGAGGGGCTTCCCTGGTGGCGCAGTGGTTGAGAGTCCACCTGCCGATCCAGGGGACACGGGTTCGTGCCCCGGTCCGGGAAGATCCCACGTGCCGCGGAGCAGCTGGGCCCGTGAGCCATGGCCGCTGAGCCTGCGAGTCCGGAGCCTGTGCTCCGCAACGGGAGAGGCCACAACAGTGAGAGGCCCAAGTACCGCAAAAAAAAAAAAAAAAAAAAAAATAGTCATTTGATTTTTGACTGAAATGCCAAAGCAATCCAATGGGGACAGGAAAGTCTTCTCAATAAATGGCGGGGGGAAAACTGTTCATATATAGGCCGGGGGAGAACCCAATCTTTACCTCATAGCATATACAAAAATTAATTTGAGATGGATAACAGACATAGTAAAAGTTAAAACTATAAAGCTTCTAGTCTAGAAGAAAGCACCGGAGTATATTTTTGTGACCTAAAAGACAGGAAGAGTACATGGAAAGCAATAAAACAGTGGATAAATTTATCTTCAAAATTTTAAAATCGCTCTCTTAAAGACATTGTTAAGAAAATGAATAGGCTATCCAGAAACTAGAAGAAAATTACTGCAAAGCATATATTGGGATAAAGGAGTAGCGTCTAGGATATTTTTAAGAATCATACAACTCATTAATAAAAGACAAACCAAAACAGGACACTGAGACAAAAGTCAAGTGATGCTCAGCGTAGAAAAACACCCAGACACTTGAAAAAATTACTCAATACCATTGCCACCCTCATATTTTACCCAAACTCTGTATACAATGAAAGAATCATTTAATATTTTTAAAAAATAACGTTAATTGGCATATAAACATGCCCATTATAAAGAAAATCTGATACAAAAATAAATATTTCCTTCCATCCATTTACCTCATCCTAATTAACTCTTCAAAAAGTATGGGTAATAATAATTCACACACACACCAAGCTGAGTTACATATAATTATTTTTTTATTTCACAGCCTTTTAAAAGTATAAACCACGAAGTATTTTGAAAAACAGACATGAAGTATCATTTAGCAACCACAATATTAAAAAAATAAAGTAACACAGAATGAATTACACAACAGAATAAAATAATCTCTGCTGACTTTGACTAGGAACACATAATGTTCACTAGGAATGTTAAATGACCAGCACTACCCCTTTCCCATCATCATTTATTACTAAAATCAATCACAGGATCTGTTCCCAGGAGACCATTCCACTTATACATACGTTCAATGTGTAAATGTCAAGTTAACATCTTGAATTTAGTTCCAAAATACCATGTTTCCTTTGCCTCTGAGAGACAAGTTCAATGGCAAGGTGGAACAGTGAAGACCATGGAACACCAAGCATGTGACTTACGTAGTGGCTCTAACCACCCCCTTCCCCATACACACACCCAGCAAGTTCTAAAACGCAGGAAAGAGAAAGGTAGGTACTATGCTCTACAGCACAATAGACACTGGCCACATGTGGCTATTTACATTTAAATTATTTAAAAGTAAATAAAATTAAAATTTACCTCCTCAATCACAGTAGCCACATTTCAAGTGTTTGCCAACCACATGTGGCTAGTGGCTACCATATAAGACAGTTCAAATATAGAACATTTCTGTCATCACAGAAAGTTCTTTTGGACAGCCCTGGATGTGGGAAGTGTTTCTTCTCCCTTTGCTTAGCCAGGATGTAGGCTGCTTATGGAAGCAGCTCTGAGAAGCAATTCTTCCAGGATATTCCTAGATTGGTGGTGGAGTCACAGAAGGGAGTAAAGTAGCCTTTCTTCACATAGATTACCCTCCCCAGTGCATGAAAGAAATGATCCTTTTATGGGGATCAAATACACAACTAGATTCCACCAAAAATTTGTGAGGAAAATCAGAGAAGAGATAAATGAAGCTGATGTGGAAGTAGCAAGGTAGAACATTCCTCATCCCATTTCAAACCTCCATGAAGAGATTATGTCCTCCAAGACAGTGTGCAGCTTCCCAGCATCTTCCTCTAGAAAAGCCTGATAGGGGCAAGGGCTGAGAGAGAAGGGCAGTCCTGGTAAGTGTTTCATGAGAAAACCTAACACGTCTTCACTCTACTCACTCTCTCAGAGTACAGCAGTGTTGCTTGGAGTTGCCAGTTGTGAAGGAGCTACAGTTTTGATATGTTTCAAGCATCATGCTTCTTTACTACTGTATTTTGTATCCAGGGCACAGACTACAAGTTGTTCACCCAAGATCCACCATTATCTTCTTCCTTATCGAGAGAACTCAGATTTTTGTTGAAGGCAGTTGTATGTCCAGCTACAAAAACTACCTTTCTCAGCCAATCTTAAGACATAGCAGGAGCCAATGACATAGTCTGGCCAATGAGATGTAAGCAAAAGTTGCTGGGCTGCCGAAAGCTCTTTAAACGGAAGTGGACTCAAACTGGCATGCTCTGTTTTCCCTTTGGGTTCCCTCCATCTTCTTGAAGGGAACTGTAACAACCATCTTGGAACCTACGGGAAAAGCCATGGGAACCTCAGGGGCCACCTTGACGCTGACATCTGTGAGCTGCTGAACCAACACCAGTACTAGCCGACCCTCAACCTCCTTGTTACATGAGAACAAAACGAAACCCCTACTTTGTTAATGCCGCTGTTCAGTCCAGTAATTTCAAGATAGCAATCCACCTTGATTCCCAATAAGAAAATTTTTATCTGAAAGTAAAAAATATCTTGCCTGAAGAATCTGTACATATTCAAGTTCAAGAAACTTCATAGAATCATATTAATAAAACAAAAGTATATCTTGAACCCACCAGTGCCTAAACAGACCAAAGGTGGGTGGAGGAAATAATCAGGATTACTGTGTAAAATAGCTGCTATTAAGGCAAATAAGAGGGGTTTTAGCTTAATCCATCAGGAAGTTTTTTTCTGAGTGTCTATTATGTTCTCAGTACTCTCTAAACACAGGCCTGCCCTTCTGCTTACTCAAGTTCTTATATGGTAAAATGCTAACTACTCAGGTAATTATTCAGATCATTATTTCATCTATAACTTTATTTTGTGTAGACAAAGTAAAAAATGGAGGATTGATTTCACTGATTCAAACAAACAAAAAATCAACATCAAAGATCTACAACTCAATGTTTAATTTTCCCTTTATGTGCCACAGACAGCTGACAGTGATTTTCTAATGGTCCCAGAGTTTAAATTGTGGATTTAGCTTAAATAAGCACAAGTACCTCAGAGTAGCTATAAAAATAAAAACAGAGTACAGTATTCTGCAAGTACTTTCTATGTACTACATTAGTATTCTAAAAGTCTCTATATTAGTAGGTATGAATTAGAAAAAATAATCATTTCCCACTATCCATAATGGTTTAATCATTTACAATGTTTAGAATTTTGGCCATTAAAAATTTTTAACTCTATTGCACTTATTTTGAAACTATAGACAAAATTGGAAACATGGAATGTCAAGCTAAAAATAGAATATTGCATATTTTTTACTCACCTAGTTCCAAGTTTCCACCCCTGCAAGTGAACCAAAAACAAATCCTGGCACCTTGTCATTCCCAGAAAAGCCAGTGCATGGCACACCCTAGGTAAATTTTCTCTCTTATTCTGTGGACTCGCACCAGATGGCATCAGTCCTGCATCCACAGCTGTGCCTTAAAATTGAAGTTCAGACATAGGAATCTACTTTATTAGACATTTTAGATTTCACAGGTATGATTGTGATGTCATTCTCATTCAACTTAAAATGATTATCTTTCCAAGTAGAACTGCAGATTCATTGCACTTACAAGTTTGGAAATCAGTGAAACAATCAAGATTATCCTAATAAGATTTGAAGTCTTTTTAAACAGCTGAAATTTAGAAACAACAATGAAATAAGAACAGTTGAAACAGAATACTAATATTATGTAACAATCGAATTATGGCCCATTTCCATATAATGTAAGAAATTCAACTCAGTTTCTAACGTTGCTGAAGAGTCACTAAAAACCTTATATTGAAAATAAAACACAGCAATTTTCTATAATCAAGTTACACTTATATAATGAGCAGTTATCTTAAATGTTCCTGACTTTTCAAAATGTTTTAATGCCTAGTTCATATGTACACTGTCTTCAAAAACAGACTTGATGGAGTGATTGTCAGCACCAGGGTGTGGTGGATAGAGCAGCCAATGTGTACAAGCCTGGCACCTAGGCCATTGTGGGTGTCAGAGGGCTAGATTAAAAACGCATACAGGTAGCGCAAAATTTGAGTTCAAAAGTAGTTCTAATGTGAGAGATCGATCTATGTTGGGTTCTTAAAAATGAGGATTGAATAAATGAATGGAACAGGGCAGCTCATGTAGAGATGTCAAAGTTTCAAAAGCAAGATCTCTAACAAAGCAAGGGCAAAGCAGGAGGTCAACAGCAGCAAGTTCTGAGAGAACTTGTGAGAGTCCTTAATTCCCAGATTTTAGGGCCAAGTTCCAGGCAGAGATTGGGTAATAGGAATAAATATTCATTTTTGCCTGGATAAATGGGAACTTAGTAGTTAATGAATTAGATTCTGAGGAGGTTATAAAATGGCACTGGCCACAAGAGAGAAAGGCAACCACTCTTTTCGTAGGAAACTCAGTCAGTAGAACCAGCAAAGAGATTGGCTTAATACTGGGATGGCAGCAAACTACTCACCCTGAGTTCTCTATAGTCTCCTGTCTAGAAGAGTCAGGGGTGATTTAAACCTCTGGACACCCGTGGCACTGCTAGGAAGAATAAAGGATTATAAAATCAAGACAAGCAGGTGTTTAAAACAATTTGCATTCTGGTTATTTATAAAGTATGAAGGGATTGTTTTCCATCCTTGTAAACTATTATTGCTTATTAATTACTCCCACACTCGTCTTCAAAGTCCATATTTACCATACAACTGTATAACTACATGTCACTGCAGAGGTGTCAACCAATTAGAGAACTACTGTGCAAAGTACAATTTCGAATCACTGCAGTTGATTCTGAGATTCAAACTGGGAATTCAAATCGAGTCTTATTATACCTCCAATAAAGAGAGGTGTGTGTATGTGTATATATATATATATGTGTGTGTGTACACATGTGCATAAATACATGTGTGTATATACATACATATATGCGTATATATATGTATATACACATATGTATTTGAATTTGATTATGACATTATATTTAAAATAAACCACTCACTTCATTAACAACAGTTCTATTCTAGGAAAGCAGGAAATTATCTGAATGTGTCAGGCCAAAACTTCCCCTATAAATATTCACACAGTGAGACCATTTTTCCTTCTCTCGAATTATTAAAATAATTGTCTTCCACTTCACTTTCATATTATCAACTTAGGCGACACTTATTGTTTCATTGTTTTTAGCCTTTCTACATGGTCTGTCTTTGTGCCTAAAATTAATAAATGTTTTCCGTGTTACAGTCACAACAGGGACAGCTTATCTTATCCTAAACATGACTGAACCCAAATCTTCCCTTACTGAAGACAAATTGTATCTGCATTACATATTTCAACTTCAAGAACCCCTGCACACTGTTTTCCAAAAGAGCATATTTATTAAAATTGCAATCACTTCTCACATCCCATTCTAATTATTATGATCCTCTACCTAGACACTGTACTAGGTTAGGAATCAGTTTGGCTCCTTGGTTCCAGTAGAAGCTCACTGGTTCTGAGTGGGAGAGAGCCCTTTATTTCATTGCACCCATTTCCTCCATCCTAAGCTCTCACTTTTTAAAGGCCCTGGGTCTTCAAAAGTTTACCCAGGGACAAAGTGAAACCAAGGGTGGTCCCTACTTACCGTCGCAGAAAACGTCCATCTCTGGTGTTTCCAGCCCGGTTACCCGGCTTGTAACTGCATCCGCGGTCCTCCACACCCCAGCCCAGAGCAGCAGCTCGGCTCCAGAACTTGAGACGGCATAAACCGAGGAAAAAGCATCTGGAAGATGAAGTTATTTCCCAGACTAACATTGCCCCGAGCGTACTTAGGGCACACTGGTGAGCAGTTTACTCGTGCCCGTCAATCTTCCCGAAGATGTTCGAATCACGTAGGACAGCCTACATTCTTCCTGTCCTTTTCCCGTTGCCCTACAATGCCTAAACTGCCTCCTTTCTCCAGCCCTCCATGGCAACTCCAAGGACTCTCCCAATGGCTCCCACTCTAACGCTCACCCTCCTGCTGTTTCAGAATCTAAACCTACCGCCGCGGCAATCCGCAGGCTCCTACGGGGTTGGCGTCTAGAATAGGAGTAGGGATCAAGGGGAAGAGGAGCTTCCCCATAAAAAAATGGGCCCCTGAGTCCTCGCTCCTTGGCACCGCCAGTTGAATCCCATTTAGCATCTCCGAAGAACAAAGATACTTAAAGCAGTGTTTGGAATACTTCGAGTGCGCCCTGTTTCTTCCTGCCTCCTGTCCCAAAGGTTAGGATGACATTCGATTTTGTTTGGAAGCGGCTGGACTTCCAATTCAGATAACTGAATTATCTGAATAATTTAGTGTTGTACCCCTTGGGTACAAGATAAATTGCAGTTGGACTGGAAGAAGAGCTTGCAGGGTCTCAAAGCCATTCTGGCTCCAAAAGCTAAACTTCTCTCTTTTCTGCATCTTTCCCCGCCCCGGAAAAGCTTAGGGTCCCTCCCTAAGAGCACAGCACCAGCCCAGACCCCAGACACCCGCCGTCCCTGACATCCCCGCGCGCCGCGAACCCCTAGCCTCCCGGAGGAGCGGAGAAACTCGCCCCTTTGCCAACCCCTCCCACCTCCAAACGGACCTGCCAGCGAGGCAGCCGAGCCTGGCCCTCGAACCCGGGCGGCCAGAGAATCGATGCCGAGACCCAGCTCGGTGCCCGAACAGCTCCATGCCCTCCTGCCAGTGTCCGCGCGGCGCCGGTCACACCCCCTGCTCGTGGGAGAAGCCCCAAGGCTCCCGGTGCAGCGAGAGGCGCCCGGGCTGCAGCGCCCCGGCAGTGCTGGCCACGGAGTTCTTCAGCTGCTTGATGACTACGAAGAGCAGGAGGAAAAGTAAGAAGAGCAGAAAGAAAAAGAGCGCCAGGTAGAGCAGAAAGTTGAGCTCCCACTCCATGCTGAAGGCGCCGGCTCTCAGGGGCCGTGCGCGCTCCGCACCCGGTTGCCTCTGGCCTGCAAGGCGCAGCCTGCCGCGTCCCACCTCCGGTCTCCCCGCGCCGGCGCTCGGGCGCCTCGCCTTGGGCAACGGCTCCGGGGTCCACCCTCGGCCTCCTCCAGCTCGGAGGAAACGCGCCAAGGAGCTGGGGTGATCCCGGCTCCCACCCTCCCGGTAGGCACGACAGCCTGTCTACGCTGAGATCCTCTCCTGAGCTCTTGGGAACGCGAGCTGATTTTTCTAGGCTCAGCCTCCCGGACGGTGTTAGGGCTGGTGTTCTGCTAATGATCTTAAGGTCTCCAGCCGCAACATCCAGTGGAGTCTCTAGCCCCCTCCCTTCCTAATTAATTAGCTTCATTATTTTCCCTTGTTCAGGCTTTCCCAAAGGGCAGGCGATGCCATGGCCCAGAGACCCAAAAGTATCAAAGGGGACAGTGAAGGTGGGGTCTGAAGGGCTGTGGGATGACTTAAGGGCGCCTGAGTGAATGCCAGGTCAAGCTGCCTTGCTCTTCAGAGTTGCAGGTGCACTCAATATAGAGTGCACATTTTTGTGGGTAACAATAGGAAAAAAAATGTTAGAGAAGCATTAGATTTATTTAGAAAAGCATTAAAGAGAAAATGCATTTCAAGTTATATTGTACAAAGCCCTCCAATGTTGACTTAGAGTTCAATTTCTTTGGGGGAAAACAAAAACAACACAACAATTTACTTAAAGTGCTCGCTTAAGCCCCTAACACCTCTCTGTAGTGGACTAAGATCACCCACAGCCCATATGGTACAGCTCTGAAAGAAATCCAGTCGAACTCTTGCTGTGTAACAAATTACCCAAAAACTAAGTGGCTTAAAACAACATAAACATTGGTCATCTCTCAGTTTCGGTGGGTCAATCCTTTGGGAGCACTTAGGTGGGTGATTTTGACTTGGGGTTTCTTATGCGGTTCTGTCAGGTGTTAGCCAAGGTGGCTGTCATCTGAAAGCTCGTCTGGGGCTGGAGAATCCACTTCTAAGGTGGCTCACTGACATGGGGGGCAAGTAGTGCTGGTTGTTGGTGGGAGGCCTCAGTTCCTTCCAATGTGGGCTTCTCCACAGGGCTGCTTGGGTGTCTGCACAACCCTCTGCTGACTTCCCCCAGAGCACAAGAGCTGAGAGCACTTCCCCCAGTGATCCAAAAGAACAAGGCAGAAGCTGCAGTGCCATTTACGGCTGGCTTCAGAAGTCACATACCATCACTCCTGCAGTATCCTACTGGTCACAAGGCCAGCCCTCTTCCATGTAGGGGTCCAAGGACATGAACACCAGGGGGTAAGGATCATTGGTGGCCATCTTGGGGTCTGACTATCAAAGCTGCTAACGCAATGGGTTATCACTGCCCACTCTATGAGCCTCCAACTTTATTTCATTCTTTATTTGTGAAGATACAGGAGAGGCCCCTGGAATGAATTTGGGGAATAAGGCCTGACATACACATCCCGGATTATTTAATGGGCTGCTTATAATAAGTGACTCTCCCAGTGATGGCAGGGGGTTCAAAGAAGCAGGATGGTATGGAAAAAGCTGTGAACTGGAAGTCTCAAGGACCCAATTCTAGTCTCAGCTCCACGTGTCAGTGGTCACTTCAGCTCTCTGACTCTCTGTCCCCTCACCTGTAACACACCTTGCTTACCTTTTCCTTGGATTTGTTGTGAGGATCAAAAATGAGTGGGATGTTGAGTAAGAATGTGTTTTCCTAAGTAAATGCCAGGTACTATTATTATTCTTTTACTGAGAGTCCCCAGTGTTATAGACTGCTGTGCAAAATTCCCAGGTCCTAGGCCTCTCCACCAAACATCCTACTGTGTAAGGAATCTCTCAGATCTCTAAATCTCTCTCTCAATAACATTATTGATCCACCTCATGGGCAGTGGTATGCTGGAACTGGCTCAAAGTTTTTCTCTCAAAAATTCTGCAAGCCATTTGCTAAACACAGCTATGATTAAAAATTAAATCGTATAAACTTACAATTAAATTATGTTAACAAAGGTAATAAATACTCAAAACTCATCTCTTCCTCATTGTCTCACCACATTTTACTATCATCTATGCACTTGAGATTATTTACATCTGTTGTAGCTGTATGGCTGAAATGTTATACAGTAGTATGTTACTGTGTATTTCCAACTGTGCTCAGATGTCATGTAGTATCATGAAATTGGCCACAGTAGGGGTATTTGCCCTGTGGAAATGTACAAGTGCTACAAATCATGGCCAGAGAGCCAGTTGTTAAACACTTACCAGCATATCACTGCTCACAGAGTTACTGAGGAAAATTTGAAGTCTTATACAAGTAAAGCAGAGATCTGTGATTTTTCTGACTACCCAGAATCTACACACCTCCACTCTAGGCACCACATATTCCTACTGGTAGAATTTTCCATTGTATGTAATCTTGGCAAGAGGACAGATCCCAGTGACTGCTTTCCATTGCCACCTCCCATTATGGAAACCAAGGGGGTCAGAGATATCTTTTACCCACTCCTGATACAGTGCAGGGAGGAGGGCGGGAAGAGCCATGCCAGATGCATCTGGGTGGCAGAGGAGCTCCCAGGCCAGACCAGTCCCTGGAGTGATGGGGCGTCGCTCTTGCTGCTGCTTCCGTGGCATCCTTGACTCCTGCCCTTTTTCCAAACTGCCTCTTTTCTATTCTGTGAACTTCCCCTGGCTTTCCAGTAAATCTCCTATTGCAGCAAAGCATGGTGGGTAACAGCAGCTTGCAGATGAGAATACTGCCTGATAGAGAAAGCATGACTTACTTTGCATATGTTAAGCGCTCGTAATCAACAAGGTGTTTGGTAGAAAAGGCATATGCCACTTGGCACATTGCCATCCAGATATCCAAGCCATTCAAGGATGGACACTGAAGCACAGAGAGGTTAAGTGACCTGCCCAAGACCACACAGCTAGCAAGTGGCAGCTTGCATTCTCAACCCTTATGATACATTACTTCACAGAGGAAAGTGCTCTTTTCTTATGCATGACTGTCAAATTAATGACATTTTTTTTCTTTTGAGCATCAAACTTGAAAGAAACAAATTTCAAGAGACACATACCTTCTACTTACGTGCATCTCGGCTCCTTCCTTTGAAACCTTGAAGGTTAAAGCTTCAAATGAGCCAGTGTATCCCTGCAGAATGCTGGGGAAAGAGGCCAAGAAATGAGGATTTTATGTCACCAAACTCAAACCCATTTCAGCCTGCCTAACCATAGCTATTTAGATTATCCATTTATCTGAGCAGCTTAAATGGATTTATAAATATTAACTAATAAACCTTCATATTCACTCTAAATAGAGTTTGTATTTAAAATAATATTGCTGCCACAAAAATAACTTATTACATTTATTAGATGCTCCCAATGCTTTTTGCCTCTGGTCATTTTTATATATCTCATAAGATGGTCTGAATTTCAGTTTATATTATCACAAATGACTCCATAGGAATAAGACACCACCTTTCTCAGCCTAAATATGCATACTACATGGAAATCCATGTGAAGAAAATCCAAGAATTTTAAAAGCCAGAAAGGACACTCGCTGTAGATAAGAGTGTTACGGTTCCATTATCTAAAAAGAAAGCCGTGGTGCACACATTGGTAAGGTGGAGGGAGGCTGTGTCACTGCAGTCCTATACCACTGCTCATAGAGTGGACCCCGCTTGTACTTTCACTTAACACAGAAAGCCTCATCCACCACTCAGAGGCAGACTTCCCACTCCTCAGTCCCCTTCTCACGAGTTTCAGAACACCTGCTCCTTGCCCCAGCCTGTGGACATCCATGGTGTGTAGCAGGATAGGGCTCTCCTTCCCTTTGCCTGCTTTGTCCTCCCACCCTCACCTCTAAAAGGGAGGGGGGATCTTTTATCATAACAAGCATCAAAGGTATCTATGGGAAGTGATTAACAGTAGCAGTAGAAGAGGTTGTCCTGTGAGTGTGCTTCTCTAAAGAGCCCAGAGCCCCAAGAAGACACTCAGGAAGGACTGTAAAAATCTGCCAAGATCCCAGGATGGAACCTACCTGTTGGGGGTACCTGCTAGTTGGAAGCAGCTTCCCCAACACAAGCGCAGGGATAAGAGTAGGAGACTAGAGAGAAAAGAGATTTCCAGGTACCTTCCTGAGGCTGATTCAGTTTGGCCTGAAATGAATCCAAAAGAAATGAGAAAAAGATTTTGTACCATGCTCTGGCCTCAAAATGTGTTATTGACCATGATTAGTAACACTGGGTCCTTAAGTAACTGTATACCTTTCCAGATACTGTGGACCATACAAATTGGGTTACAGGTTTCTGCTTAGATGGGATGTCTCTTAAAGTACCCATGCATGTGCTGGGGATGAGGTCCATACTCTATGGAAGTTTCCCGGCCCTAAGAAGCTATGCTGTAGCTAGTCAGGGCTTGAATCAGTCCTAGTGATGCTGGCAACCCTTAATGGCTCCAAAATACCCATGTTCCTTTGACACCTCTTCTCCCTTGCTCCTGCTTCAAGTACAGATATAACACCACGTTCATTTCTAGGAGATACAAACTGGGCTTCCTTGGAATTGCCTCTGATTTATTTATCACCCCTAAAACCCTCAAGATCAGAATTAGAAAATCTATGAGAATGTTCACTACTGTAGGAGAGAAAAGTGAGTTGTTCTACCTCAGGGAGTCATCTAAAGTTAGTCAACAGTTATTGTAACATTCCAACAATAGGGTTTGCTCTCCACACCCTCCCCTCTTTCCCCATCCCATCCCCAAAAGCCCCCTAACTTGGGCAGTTATGCAATGCTTAGAAAATGAGATATGCTTCAGGAAATAAGCAAAATGCATGTGAAAAGCTGCTTAAATCTGATGAAACATTTAGAAATACCAGTGAGTCAGAAGGAGGGAAGGAAGGAAGGATGGAAGGGAAGGAAGGAACTCTAAGGAAGAAATCTATTTGAGGGGTATGTGGGAGATCATCCTATGTGGGTAGCCTTTGAAATCCAGAATTCGCCACTAAGAACAATTCTATGGAGACAACACAACCACCACCATAATTCTAGACGCTTTCCTTAGCTTCAAATGTCTTAAAACACAACAGAAGATACCCAAGTCTGTCCAATATTAAAGAAGAAAAATGTTAAGTGACAGATGTGGTAATGGCCAAACACTACTTCTTTAACTTAGACTCTTTCCAGTAAGTTGGCAGGAACATTGGAGAAAGTCGATGTGACTGTGGCTGACCCTAGACTTGATCAATATTATGCTACGTAGCAAAATAAAAAGTCTGAGCATAATAGAGATCAATACCTCCTTTGTTCAGCACAACTTTAATAATGACAGTGGTGAAACTGTCACCACTAAAGGAAGGTCTGCAAAGCTTCTGTGTCAGCTGATAATGATCAGAGCTGTGGGCTTGCAGAAGCACGGACACACACACGAGGCTGAAACTGGACTGCCCCAAGAGAAAAAGGAATTAGAAAAAAGTAGAATTTTGTCACGCATGCTCCCTTAGTGAAATGACAACTTGTGAGCTCTAATGACACAATTGGGCCTGCATTCCCAGATCTAGGGATCCAAGCTGTCCTCCACGCACACGCAGACACTGTAGTTCAGACTGGCAATGAACAGACTTGGGTCCCAGTTCAGTATACTTGACCCTATACTATACCGTACAGTGCTGTATTTCGAGTCCAATGGACTTGGACACATATCTTGGCTTCATTTCTTGCTAGATGGAGGACCTTGGACACCACTGGTTGCCTACCAAGCACCTCATCCCTCCTTCTTCCTTGTCAATAGAATCCTGACTCTAGTCAGGTATCTGCCTCTTTCCCATGTAACCCATTCAACTTAAGGGGAAACTCTTTTGGGGAAGTGGGTCCCTGTTGATCTAAAAGTCATTTACAGAATATGACAATTTTTTTTTTGTACAGGAGGGGGCATATGACCTAAATTGACATAATCTAATTGAAGAAGTGGATTATTAGTCAGTGTCCAAAAAAGAAAACAGAACCACTGTAGGTATTTAAAATAGGGAAATTTAATACCGGGATTTGGTTACAAGGCTATTGAATGGGTAGGAGGAGGAAAAGGAGAAGGTAAAGTAGCACAAGATTATAGCCCCATGGGCTAGAGGAGCAAAAGGGAAAGTAGAATTACATAGAGCACATGATCACTGTTGCCATAATTTACATCCAAGACTTCTCCTGGAAATTGCAAGCCTTCAATAGACTCCAGAATTCCAAAATATTGTATCAGACAGATTCTGCTAGTACAACTGTTGTCTAGGTGGGGAGACAGATTCCTACTGCTTTCTAATCCACCACCTTCCCAGAATCCTTCTCTTTTTATTTTTAATTGTGGTGAAAGATAAGAGTTACCATCTTAACCATTTAAGTGTACAGTCAGTGATATTAAATACATTCATAATGTTGTGCAACCATCTCCACCATCAATCTCTAGAACTGTTTCATTTTGCAAAATTAAAACTCTGTACCCATTAAAAAGTGACTCCCCATTTCCCTTTCCCCACAGCTCCTGGCAACCACCATTCTACTTTCTGACTCTCTGAAATTGACTCCTCTAGGTAACTTATATAAGTGGAATCATACAGTATTTGTCCTTTTGTGACTGGCTTATTTCACTTACATAATTTCCTCAAGGTTCATCCCTACTACAACATGTGTCAGAATTTCCTTTCTTTGTAAACCTGAATAGTATTCTGTAATGGTTAATTTCATGTATTACCTTTACCAGGCCACAGGGTGTCCAGACGTTTGGTCAGACATTATTCTGGGTGTATCTGTGAAGATGTTTCCGATGAGATTCTCATTTGAATCAGTACACTGAGAAAAGCAGATGGCCCTCCCTCGTGTGGGTGGGACCAATCCAATCAGTTGGAAGACTGAAAAAAGGCTGACCCTCCCACAAGTAAGAGGCCGGAATGCCTTCAAGCTGGGACATCAGTTTTTTTCCCTGCCTTCAGCCTTGAACTGAAACTGGGTCTCCTTTGTCCCTGAGCTGCTGCTTTTCAAACTGGAACTACACCTTCAGCTCTTCTGGGTTTCCAGCTCACTGACTGTGGACATTGGAACTTCTCAGCCACCATAATTACATGAGCCAATTCATTATAACAAATTATCACATCTATCAAAAAAATTGTATCTATCTATATCTAGCTCAAAGTCCTATTTGTTCTGTTTCTCTGGAGATCCTTGACTAATACATATGCCATTGTATGTATATACCACTCATATTTTATTTTGAGTAAAAAAAAAGAGCTATATCATATTATCTAAAACATTTAAATAATCTACTTTGACTATAGGTTATAGGAAGGCATATACATATGCCTCCTGAAGAACTTTTTAGCCAACCCAATATTTCCTGAGGAGTTTAAATATTTTTAATGCAACAAGTCACACTGCCATTTAGTATATGTGAAAAATCTTTCTCCTTAGGGTTTTCTATATTTAGAGAGGCCAATTCCACAGTGGTTAAGGTATAGGCCTGGTATTATTGCCTCTGTGATATGTCATATTAGCAGGCCCGTTGTCATAAATACGGGTTGGAATCTACAACAGAAACTCTTGGTGAGAGACTAATGCCCCCACCAGGAAATATACCTGGATATTCCTTTTGTAACCATCACCATAAACCAGCCAACAAATGACTGCTTAACCAAGCCTCCCTCTGGCTTTTGCACCAGCTGTGAATCAATCCAAGGAATCTTCTAACCCTCCCCATGGAAATCGTTACTTCAGACTGGAGGCTGCTGGCTTGGGACAGGCAAAGCCTCTGTATCGCTTCACTCATACGTGCTTTCTTTTAACTTAAGGGATCTGAGTACCTAAACACCAAGATGATTGGCATCCTGGAGACAGCAACATTTAAAGCACCTTCTCAAGAATTCAGAAGTTATGGATTATAACTTCAGCAATATAGAGATCGTCCTATCATTCTCTATGACCTGTGAAACACTGTAAAAAGAGAATGTTCAGGGTGTGTGTGAATCTGGTGGTACTAGAATATTAATACCGTCATGAGGTTTTCTTTTGCTCTGCTGCAGATACCGTTGGTTGAGCTAAGTGACGCAGTTACCCGATAATGAAAACGAAGATTTGTGACATCTGATGAAAACGCATATTCCCGTCAGCTGTTGCACACCTGGCTC